GAGGGAGAGAGAGGGGGGAGAGAGAGGAGGGAGAGAGAGGGAGAGAGAGGGAGAGAGAGAGGAGAGAGAGGGAGAGAGAGGAGAGAGAGGGAGAGAGAGAGGGCACTTTGCTATTGTCCTGTATTTGCATGTCTGTCTTTGGAAGGTAAGCCCATTGAGAGTAGGGACTGTCTTTTCATCTCTGCATCCTCAGTGCTTAACACTGTATATGTTAAACTGTGAGCATGCCCATAGCAATTTAAGGAATATTGAGCAATTATTTGCTAGGTTCTCTGGCAAGGTACTGAGGTTTCCACTGTGAAGCACACCTGGTCTCTATTCTCACAGAGTTTATAATCTAGTGGGAGATACAGACAAGTAAATATGGATCTAGTGTCGATTGAGAAATATTGGTGAGAATAGGAACACAAATGGGCACCCAACCCTGCCCAGTGGTCCTATAATACTTCCCAGATATGTCTTCTTTTCCAAAATATGCTTCATAACTTCTCTTTTCACTCTTTCATGTTTCCTCGTTTCCTTTATTCTCAGTTGATGAACTTGCTTTATTTTTTACTAAAAGAGTAGACAGGAATCCTTTCATCCTCCTGCCAGGGAATCTCAGCAGCCCACCTGCACTTGTACCCCTACTCTTGGACTTCCCATAATGGTGGATGATGTGTCTCTCCCTTTTCTATCAGAAGCCAACTCCTTTGTTTGTGCAGAGGACCCAGTCTTCTCTTGCTCACTCAGGGACTCAGCTTCTGCAGCCATCCTTTCATTCTGCATCGTTAATTTCTCTGTCTACTGGATCCTTTCATCATACAAACATGCTCTAATATTGTCCAATTAAAAAAAGTTCATTTGACCCCAGATACCCCTCCAGCTGCCATTCCATTTCTTTCTTCTCCATCATCACAGAATTCCTTGAAAGTGATGTTTCAGTTTCTGCTTTCTCACTTTCCATTCATTCCTTAACACGTTCGTGGTGGTGTCTTTCCCCACCACTAAGTGAAACTACTCTTGCCATATTGCCAGATCTAAGGGCCGTCTACTTCACCTTACTTGAATGCTCAGCAACGTTTAGCTTTTAACACTGTTGGCTGCTTCCTTCTGTGTGAAGTACTTCCTTCTTTTACAACTGGACACTCTCCTGGTTGTTCCTTTTCACCTCATTGGTTTCCCCTCCCTACTTTTTGTGCTAGGTGTGTGCTAGGTGATTCTTTGCCTGAGGGTGTGGGTTTTGACCCCCTTCTCTTTGTATTTCTTTCCATAGGTGAATTTATATAATGTCTATGTAACTACAACTACCACATTTATATTTTTAGTTCTGACCTGTTCCCTGAATTCCAAATTAATAAATCCAGTTGCCCACTTGAGATCTTCCCTTGATGTCTGATAGGCAACTCCTCCACCTGACTCTTTACTTGTCAGTACACAGTGTCAGCACTGGTTGAGTGGTTGAAGCCAAAATTTAGGAAGCTTCCTTGATCCCTTGATTTCTCTCATCTCCCACATCGATTTCATCGGCAAGCCCTGTCTTTTCCAAAACAGCCTGTATTCACTTTTGTCCATTTTTACCACCGTTACCTGAACTCTTCTGCTCCTATATGATTCCTCTGTTTTGTTTTTTTTTTTAACTCTGCAAACTACATGTGGTATTCACCACATTGCAGTTCTGGCAACCTTAAGAAATGTAAATCCGATTATTTTAATCATCTGCTCAAAACTCTGAAATGTTCCGTAGCACTTAGAACAATATCCAGACTCTTCACTGAAGCTTACAGATCCCCACAGGGGGCCCTTGTCTCCCTCTTGTCTTTGATCACTTCAACCTGGTCAGTCTGACCTGTTACGCCAAAAACATGTCAGGATTGTTCTTGTTGTGTGGAATGCTTTGCCCCTAAATCTTTTCATGGTTGGCTCCTATCTTTCAAATTTTGATCTTAAAAAGCATTTCTTAGACCTGTGATGACCAAATGAAAAATACCTTCTCATCCATTCTCTTATTACCTTGTTTTAGTTTCTTCATAGCACATATCACTACCTCATATTTCTTCGTTTATTTGTTTACTTATTATATGAGTATGTACCTCTCCATTGGAGTGTAAGTTCCTTAGGAGCCAGGCTCTTTGTCTGTGTTTTTCTGTGCCATATTCCCAGCATCTGGGACAATGCATGGCACATAATAGATGCTCAGTAAATATTTTGCTAAATGAGTAAACGTTTAAGGAGATAGATTAAATTAGAACTACTGAAAGGGAGCAGGCTGCCTCAGGAGGTAGTAAATTTCCAACTGTGGAAGTGCTCAGGGAGAGACTGAAGGATCATTTGTGGAGGAGCTTTTTTTTTATTGGGGAACAGCCATGGTCATTGGTTACATGTTGCTTTCATGCTACAATGGCATAGTTGACCCTTTCAGAGAGGGCGCAGCTCACAGTGGCCCATGTAAGAATCGAACCGGCAACCTTGATATTATCAGCACCGCGCTCTAACCAACTTAGCTAATCGGTTACCCCCTGTGGAGGAGCTGACAGGTGTTCTTTGCCTTTTGTGTGCCCTAGTGCATCTGAGGGATATGACATCCCTATTGGTAGACTCGAAGGTTTGTGATTCCTCACCTGGGGATGGCTTATCAGATTCAGGAATGGTGAGTAAACTTGGGAAAGATTCCCAGGTGATTCATGCAACCTCCCCCAGCATGTCCACCACTACCACCTCATTGCCACCTCTTGGGAATTTTATGCATCAAATAGGGCATCAATCTTTATGACCCCCAGGGTCCTTTTCTTCTCTGGATGACAGTGATTCTTACGTTGTCATTGGAATAACTTGTGTTACTGTGATCATGATAATGATAACACATCAATTGTTATCTACCTTCAGGGGAATAAATAATATATTTCTTTTGTCCCCTCATATTTCCTGAAACACTACCCCTATCTTCCACCCCAGTAGCCACTGTTAATAATTTGGTACCTATTTCTCTATATATGCATATTTATAAGAGAAATAATGGAATGGAATAATTTTTTGGCTTTTTTTCACTTAATATATCTTGGATATCTTTACTGTCAACCTATAGAGAGTTTATCTCATTTAAATAATTGCATGGGATTTCACTGCATGTATATAATATAATTTATTTAAATAATCCCTTTGATGACACTTGGACTGTTCCCTTTTTTTCCAACTTTACAGTCATGCTGTTAGAATATCTTTTTAAGATAAATTCCTTAGTCAAAAGGAAAAAACATTAAAAATATTAAGAGATATTGCCAGTTGCTCTGCCAATTGCATGAACTGATCTGTACTCCACCCCAGCAGGATTTTAATTGATTGCCCTTGCTTTAGTCAGTGTCCTTCATATTTTGAAGGGTGCAGATGCTTGAAAAGATCAGTGGTGCTTCCACAGTATTTACATGTTGAAGCATAATGAGAACTGTTGCCATGGTGATGGACTCTGGAGAAGTAGTCTGGTAGTTTTCTGACCTTCGGGTTAGATTTCAGTTCGTTTCCTTTTCTTGGTTAATGATGGGATGGTTGCTAGCCTGAAGCAAATTTGGGTTTTCTTAAGTAATGTAATAGTTTATCACAGTATTCCTGGAGCTCCCTTTTCATGTCAAATGGTGACTGCGGTTAATGTATTAGGTTGGAATCTTCAAGGGTGTAGAATGTGGCAGCAGAGAGTTCTATGTCAAAGTTAGTATAACTTAGGTCTCTTGCCTTTTTTGAGATGAACAGCTGCTAGAACTTTGAGATCAAAGATTTTCTACAACTGTGAGGTCCTCATGGATGTTTATAATCTCTGCTATCCAATATCATGCACATTCAGTTGAAAATAATTTACAGTTTGATAACTTTTTGTCATTTAGCCCAGCTCCTTTGTTACTGCCTCAGCTACATTCTAATTTAGATTAATACAGTTCATGTTGTGGTGACCCCCAACCATAAAATTATTTTCGTTGCTACTCTATAACNGAAAGCCAGAAATTAAAGTGGACCTTATTTTGTAAAAAAGGTAAAACGTTAAATATAAATATTTAATCCCACATGTTAAAATACGAAACCTCAAACCTTCAGTTTCTTCTGCAAAATGAGTTGTAGTGGGTAGGGGCTGAACCAGGCAATGTTCTTGTGGGCCTTTCAGTGCTGACACCTGGGATATTTAATAAACCAGGTTCAAGATGCCAGCTTGGGAATAGAAGCCTGCTAAACTTCATCATATACTCTGTCCACATTAATCAACGGATTTTCTCCTGCCCCAACTCTACCTCATTCTTTCCCCTCCCCCATCGCCAACTCTTTTACAACTGGATCTGATTTCCCTGAGGGTACCTACAACTTAAACAAGGTCAGGCCCCCGGAGGTGCCCAATAAATGTTTGCTGAATGAATGAATATCTGTGGGTTTAGGTTCTACCACGCTTATTCGTAAGCACTCCCAGGGCCAGATCTGGAATCCAGCTCAAGGCCCTGTTGAGGTCAAGCTCACTCTGTATCTCGGCCCCCAATAACCACTTCAAAACTGTGCCTGCGCAGTGATTGGTCGCAGTGATTCTCAAGTGCTGGGGAACTTGACGTGCAGTAACAGTAATGGGGCAAGCATATGCAAAATCTGTCCCTTAATAAAATCAGGGCCGAGCTGGTACCGAACCTGGAGAGCACCAGGCATTGCCTCAAAGCAGATCCAGTTAATCTTTGAGGACCGGTGGACCAAAGAGAACCGGAAACCTCCGGTAGCCACACAGTCGGCTATACAACCTCTCTCCCTCTTCCTCCCACAGCATCTTGTTGCCATGGCAGCTGTGGGCGTCACCAACGTGACAGGAAATAGGACAGAAAGAGAACACGTCTCCAGCCCAGGAGCAGATTCATTGCGCAGGCGCATTAGCTATTCCTGGGTGTAGTTCGCATTCTGGAGATGTGTTTTGCGACTGCGCATTAGTTGTTGCGCACTTTGACCCGTCTCTACGCCTGCGCAAATTGGCCAATCCGGGAGGGCGGAGCTGGGTTACAGCGGAGCTCATGCGCAAACGGTACATCCGGTGTGGTCGTTGGGTCCGCTAGAAGTTTGGGTAGTGTAAGGCCGGAGTACCTAGCTTGTAGGCATGTCGGCCTCAGTAGTGTCGGTCATCTCGCGGTTCCTAGAAGAGTACTTGAGCACTACTCCTCAGCGTCTGAAGTTGCTGGATGCGTATCTCCTGTATATACTGCTGACCGGGGCGCTGCAGTTCGGTTATTGTCTCCTCGTGGGGACCTTCCCCTTCAACTCTTTCCTCTCGGGCTTCATCTCTTGTGTGGGGAGCTTCATCCTAGCGGGTAATGATTCCATAAGTAATGGCAATAATTGTTACTTTGGTGCGTTGTTTTTGTTCCCACAGTACTCTTGTTTAATATATCACCGCCTCATGAAGTTATGAGAGGAGCCTGCTTTGCCCTCTTTTTGTGAATGGGGAAATTGGGGCTCAGAAAAGTTGTCACATGCCAAATACCAAACAGCTGCCTATGAGCCGGAATTGAATCTGTAAAGTAACTGCCTTTATGCTGCTGTTCAACCTGGTGAGCCACTTCACTTCATATTGATCCAGGGAAAACTCCATTCCAACTTTTACTTAGCTTGAACACCCTTTTCAAATTGGTAGACTTTTTTTTATTTAATTGGGGAATTGGGGGAGAGGAACAGACAAGTTGCTGTGCTTTCGTTCTTCAGTCTAGTTGTGGAGGACATCGCTTCACTGGCCCATGTTGGTATTATCATTGCGCTCTTCCCGGGTGAAGCAGATCGGTCGCTGGCCATTGGACGGCCCCTCACAGTGGCTCATGGCAGCTCACAAAAGCTTACGCCCACTGCAGCCAGCCCCGCAGCAGCTTAAGCTGTCACTGGCGACTCAGGGCAGCCCAGCTCCAGGTCGAGCTGTTGTTCGCCATCTTAGCTGTAGAGGGCACAGACAGCATCACTGGCCCTCATGTGGGATCCTAACTGGGGGCTCTGCTGCTCAGAGCTGGCGTCCCAAGCCAACTCTTAAGCAACACGCCACTTGGCCAGCCCCCTCAAGTTGGTAGACCTTCTTTTTTTTATTTAGCTGAGCCATCCTGCCACCTGTTTGCAGCTCAGTGGCAGCTCAGCTCGAGCTGGGTATCGAACTGCTGTTGCTCAGAGCTCACACTCTTGAGCGAGCTCTTAACCAACTGAGCCACTTGGCCGGCCCCAAGTTGGTAGACTTAAACTAGAAAACCCAGCTCTGAAGCATCTCTCACCTTGGCCTACTCTTAACTAACCTCTGGTGAAAGGGCCCTTTAATAATGAAGTCAGTGTGGGGAATTGGGATTTCCAAAGCTGTTAGATAACAGGTAATTGGGCCAGAGACATGCAAGTCCCTACAGGAAAAGAAAGGACTCATGACAATTCATAGTTATTATTGAAGGGTATCACTTGCATTTCTCTTGACAGCATCAAAGACCTTACTAAAGCCTACTTTCTCTGCCATTTGTCCTCAACTGGAAATTACTTTTTTTTTTTTTTTTAAAGATTTTTATTGGGGAATTGGGGGNTCACCACAACATGAGGAACTGTATTAAGGGGTCGCAGCATTAGGAAGGTTGAGAACCGCTGCTTTAGGGGATAGCAGGGGTCCATCAGGCAGATTATCTAACTAGGGCTAATCAAGTAATTCCTGATTGACTGGTTTAAGATTCCATTTCTGGGAGAGCTATAATAAAACTGTAATTAAGTTAAGTCTCAGCTTGGTGATATGGGGCTTAGCATAAGTGACTCCATTTGGGGCCTGTTGTCTTGTTTGTAACACTCCCCAGCAGTGTTTTAGTAATAAAACTCCTAAGGTCTACTCTGACTTCAGCTTCAACTTAGAATTTGATTTGTCCTTTGAGAGCCATTTGATTTGCAGTCCTGCCAGTGCCATCTTTTGCATGCCCAAAATATTGGGGCTTTGTGGTTTGGCCAAGTTTTAATTATTTAGAGAGCTAGGAGAAGTAGACAGTTACCAGGTTTAATGATAATTAATAACAGCAAATATTTACTGAGCATTCACTGTGTTTCGAGTACTATGCTAAATGCTTAATGCTTAACATCTCATTTAATCATCACATTGATCCAAACATTCCAATGATCCAGGTATTGTTATTTCCATTTTATAGAAAAGGAAATTGAGGTTGTCAGATTAACTAACTTGTTCTGTATTAGATCACCACCAGCAGAATCAAGGTTCAAATCCAGCGTCGTCTGACCCTAGAGCCTGCACTCTTATCCACTACTCTGGACATGAATTTTTACATATATTAATATTCTGATTTAAGCTATTGAAACATTAGTATTAGTAATTTCCTATTGACAGATCAGTAAAAAATATTTCAGTGATAATAGAATCATAAACTGAATACAAAACAAAACCTTTTCTTGCTGTGTTAAGTAGCCTAGGACAGCTTTAGTTCATTATGTTGGTGTTTGAATTTGCAGGTCTCAGAAAAGGATGCATTTTGTAGGTGAATTTGATGTTTTTCATCTCTTCTGCTTTCCCCCTTTGGGAGTTCCTGTGGAGATGCTAATGGTGACAGTTGACAGGTCAAAGGCAGACAAAACATAAGGCAGAAACTGCTGGAAGGAGCCTGGATGATGGGATAGACACCCCAGCCTCCAAGAATCCACTCCAGAATGATTAAAAAGCATCAGCCTAGCCTTAAAAGTTTGAAAGTTGAATAGTGGTCAGGAAGCTACCGTCCTACTTGCTGATGAGGCAGGGAGAAAGGTTCAACTTGTCTGAGGGTCTGATGCTTCTTGCCATATTATATTGAAATAGGAACTGGCCTGGTTATCCACTACCCCCCCCCCCCCTACAACATCAGAGAGTTTAAGCTGAACTTAAGTTCATATAGCAGTGCAAATCTCTGTGGGTGTAAATATGAATATATTTCTTCAAATAGATTGTAAAGCTGTCTGAGGACATGGATTATTTTTCTTCTTTGTAGAACCTAAACAAGTCTCTGTCCACAACTGATCATCAGTACACTTGTTGATGCTGATAGAGTTTCCAGTTTAAACACAAATAAAAAATGAAAATGAAGGAAAGTTGCCATTCACTTGTTGTTTTAGGAATTTTGCTTGAGTACCTAGGATAGCTCAAAGCTGTAAATAAGCTGAAAAAGTACCTGGTTATGTGCTACTTGCAGCTGAAAGGTGAGATGAACTAGATCTGGATGGTCAAATTCATGTGAAGTTCAAAGGGCAGTGAAAGCCAGAAATTAAAGTGGACCTTATTTTGTAAAAAAGGTAAAACGTTA